ACTAGCTAGTACTAGCTAGTCTCTGGCAGGCTTTTGCCCACAAACTGCATGGAAGTTCCAGAAAATCTGAATTAATATTTTAACTGCTCCTTGCTCTGATCCCCTTTGTGCAGGGTGAGAGGGAGGTCCCAAAGCAAGAGCTGACTCCTCTCTGCTCTGTGTACAACTGTGTTCCTTGCCATACTGCACATCCCTGTCCTTAGGGTAGGAAATAACGCTCAAAGACTCAGCAAAATAGTGCTATGCAGCATCCTGAGTTTCCATAATGAAATGTTTTTAAAAATAAACAAGGGCCTGTTTTTCAGCGATATGCCTTCCCTGAAGTCATTGGAGTTACGCTGGCAGAGAACTTGGCCTCCCAGGAGGATGGTGAATCCTCTAGCTCACTGCTTCAGCTAGCAAGTAACACATGGGGGCAAGGAAGTAATCGTCTTGCAGAGTGATGTTGTCCACTGAGGGATCTTCTGCACCTTCTTGTGAAGCAGCTGCAAGCAGGGGGAAGCTCAGTGATCCTGAATGGCAGTTTCTATGCTCCTAGGGATTTCTGACCATTACTAGACCCACGGATGTTTACTTGTGCGTGTGCCGATACTTGGCCTCATTGAGGCTTGACATGGAGCGTGGAAACTGGATGCATCTTTAACACTGTTTCTCACACTCTTCAGTGTCAGGAGAAGCCTGTTAGCCAAAGAACTCTCACGCCTCAGAAATGTACCTGTTTTTTCATAATGCTTCACAGTGACCTGAGTTCCCGTGCAGAGCAGGCTGCATGTGATGGGAGCAATTCACTGCTGAATCAAAGATGCTAGAGAATATTCTCCAGGCTGCAACCTTGCTGTTTTATGGGATGTTTGAGAGTATTCTGCAAGAAGGAAGAGTTGAGCTGAGTTTTATAAGTTTGGGTGCTGGGACAGAATCTTTTGCTGTTTTATGCATTATGCGCCTATATGTGGTATTTAGGGGTAGCTCTGACAGTCATACAAGAGAGGGAGCAACCGAGGCAGAGTTATACAGAGCAGTCACGACTCTTTTCCTTACAGAGACATCTAAACTGTAATAAATGAGTGCTGGTCGAGAAGCCAACCACCTCCTCCTGCTTGTATGTACAGCTGGGGGTGGCGGCTGCTGCTGCTTAGTGAGCAAGGAAAATTGGCAACCCCTGATGTGCATTATGAACCAGAGCTGTGCTCGAATCAGATCTATTAGTTTTTTGATAGCACAGGCATATTTTAAACTTCTCAAGTGCATGAGAAAGGGTAGTCGCGCCTCTCTCAGCAGTAGGGGTAGCTAGCAGGACAAAGTGCCTCGGTGCGTGCAGGTGTCCATAAGTGTGAGGACCATCCTGGCAGGTTGTGGCTGGCCCTTGGGTCTGTCAGCCGGAAAGCTGTAATCTACCTGAATAAGCAGCTGCTTGAAAAGCTAGCTGTCTGCATTGATGCCAGTACCACTACCCCTCAGGAGATCTCTTTGGAGATCTGGTGCCTGTTCTGGTGAGCACAGTGTGAAACATGCAGCAGAAATGGCTATGAACCTGGCAGCTGGTGTTCCAGCTGATCCTCCACACCCGTGATGTAAGCATGCGCAGGGTTTACTTTGCCAGGTTACTACTTGTGTCAAATGTGGTTCATCCTCAGTGGTAACTATGAATGACTGACATGGGGCTGCCTCCTGCTGAGTAGACCTGCACCCTGTTGTTTAGATGGGCTTGCTCTTTTCTCCAGCTGTGTTGAGCATATGTGGCTTATCTCCCTGTGCAAGGCTATGCAAGACTGTGTTACCCCATAGGTTGGTGGCATTGCTTCTCTCATTGAGGCAGTGTAGATAACTGCCCAGATTTTCCTGGAGTGCGCTAACAGCTTAAGCATGATCAGGCAATTGCCAACATGCAAACATGGCTCGGAAATTTTTGTGTTGTGTGAAAGTTACTTGTATGGCCAGGTCAGAGTTAGCATGCTGAGATCCTGTTACAAAACCGTAATTGCATTTCTGTTGTAGATCTAGACTTGGAGGGATTGGGGCAGGAATTATTCCACTGATTACCTAATGGGACCTGTTCAGCTAGATTGTTCCCATACTCCCTCTCTCCAAAAAGCAAACCTATTCCCTGTGCAAAATAGGTTTTTGTGTGCGTAGTTATTGTTTTTTAATGTGGCTTGATCCCAGTGTGGGTCCCAGTTATGCAGCTTGGAGCTCACCGCACTGGAACGCAGCCATATGGCTACAGTGGGGAGTCTCACTGTCTGTGCATAGTAAGAGTTAGGCTGTGTACGCAGCCAGGAGTTTAATGCAAGACACCGCCACCACAATTCCTGCTAGTAACTGCCAGCTCATGTCACAGGTGGTGGTGGGAGCAGTTGCATGGTTAGCTTGTAGTGATTTTACCATTATGTTAGTTAAGCTTTCTGAAAAGCAACTTTATTCATTGTGGTGGCAAGGACAGGTCCAGCCTCAGCAAGCTAGCTATCTGTCCTCTGAATCCCACTGCAGCTGAATCAGCGGGATATTTGGTAATGTTGCTAGTGTAGAAGAGATCTTAGTATCTAGATGCATATGTGTCAGGAATGTGGGTTGATGCACAGATTGTATTCCTCACCTCAGAACTTGTATTGGCAGGACAAACACGAGCTTGAACAAGCTTGACTGTGGCAAGTGAGGGTCTGTACATAATGCAATGCCAAATTTATCGTCAGATTTTAGGTTTCGTGCTCCTGCTCAGAGGAAAGTTAGCTTTTAAAAAAATGGTCTAGGCCAGTTGGGTGTACATTTCAACAGAGCTTGCATTATACGATTAAGAGCAAATGCAGAAGGAAGAAAAGGTAAAATGCAGAGGTGGAAGGAGTATGCATAGGGACTGCAGGACAAGTGTGAAAACATATATAGCAGACATGTAACAGCCTGATCTTTGGGCTGCCTGGTCTTTGGATTTTGTTAGCATCACCTTCATCCTGAAGGCAGCCTTTCCTGGCATCGTGTGAGTGGAAGGGTTGCTGCTGAAGGAGGTGACCTCAGTAATTGCTGGCATGTGGGGAAAGAAGAGCTTCCATCTTCCAGACAAGCATGACTTTGTGCTCTCTACTGCCTTGTCAAGGTCCATTGAACTAGGGTGAGATGGCAGCTCTGTAACCATGGCAGTGTTTGTCTCCAGGATAGTCACTGGTTTAATGACTCATCCTGGAGAATGTGGTCACGTGTGCTGCTTCCCTACCTCGCTTTGCCCTATTTCATCCACTCTTTTGATCTAGTTATATAACCAAGAATGGAGAGGGGTGGCAGGGAAGGAAACAATGCTGAAGAATTGTAGGTAAAGTGACCAAAATCTATCTTTAGCTCAAGTAGCAGAGCTCGTGTCTGAGAAGCCTTGAAGACTGGTTTTATTCCCAGCACTGTTTGCTGTCTGCAAGTGAATGTGATGCTTGGTGTCTGAGCTTGTTAGTTTAAGGAGACATGGTAGGAGGAGAGGACTCTGAGGCCTTGGATGTGGTAGATGAATCAGCATGATCGTAGCAGCGAACCTCCTTTGCCTTTATGTTGCCCTGCAGCGTGACTCCTATCTGCATGAGCTCTGTTTGATCACGTCAGTTGCTGATGTCTATTTTTCTAGTATGTGGAGGACTTACTGGTACTGATACTCACAGAAACATTTGAGCTGCTCTGCCAGTTGCAGCCCATGGTGGAGTGAGTCCGGAAGTCCTAACTGAATTCTAACATAGGCTTCGAACAAATGCTGGGACAGATCTGCTGAGGTGTCCAAGGTGAACCTAGCTGTTGGCATCCTGATTTCAGGCGGTAATATTGATGGTAAGGTTAATTTAACAGGCATATTAATGTGGCAGCTTTAGAGATGTCTGCACATACAATGTGCTGTGTTGAAGTAGCCTTCATTTAAGCTGTCGGCTTTTTGAGAGGGCATGCCTCTCCAGATCCCATAGTGTCACAATGTGATGCTTGTTGGCTCAGGTTTACTTCATTTGCTGCATTCTTCTACACTGATGTCTTCCTTCCCCCTTTCCTTCAAAGTTCTATCTAAGTGTCATTTCAGTTCAGTCATTAGCTCATATATAGTCTGCGTGCAGGAAAGATGATTACAAGATGAGGTTCAGGGTATCTCTCTGCCTGACACAAGGGGACAAGATGCTTCAAAGAAGATATTACAAGGCTTATCAGAACCAGTTTACTTCAAGGGAAGCTTTTGAACAGGAACATTTCCTTACTGTGATCTGCAGGCATTAACTTGGTCAATGTCAGCCTATTGAAGAACAAAATGCCACATACAACAAGGTGTCTTTTTGCATAGTGCTTTATGACTGAAATCAGCCATTAATACGAGTCTGAAAATAGGAGAATGCAGAGAGAAGGGAATGACTGTCGTTTATAATGTGGAAAGACTATTGCTGCTTGCTTTTTGCTTTTTAAGAAGCTTGCCAGAAGTTAGTGTTTAAATCATGAGAGTGGAGTCTGATGATAAAACCACTGGGCTGCCTGTTAGGCCATGACCCAGTATTTGAACCAGATAACCTCTTGTATGGTACATTCTGTTAACTTGGAAGATGGTTTTACAGATGCCATATAAATGGAAATTTTTGCCCTGCTTGAATGCTAAGAAGCAAAGAAAAAGAGGTTTTGAGTTGCTTTCTTTTCCTTATTCTAATCAGAGCTCATGAGGCCCTTCTACGAAAGTGAGCCTTTATGGCCAGCAAGTGGTCTGCATGGATTTAAATCACTTTGCCTTGTTTTCCTTCAGGACACTTTTGGACTGTGTTTAGTGGTGTAGTCTCAGCTGTTGCTGGAAACAGACCCTTCACTGTAGAACACACCACACTCTTTGAGTGGCACTGTTGGAGAGGACCCCGATTTTGACCTTCAAAGAAACATGCTCGCAAATGAACAAGAAGAGGGGTTGAGAGTTCCCGTTCAGCTTGAATCCTGATGAATGCTTGCGTAAAAGCCAGCTGACAGCCTGGCACAGTTGTTCTCACGTCATTATCTCCTTGTCTTTTCAGACCAACCCCAGGAAGCTGTGTTCAGCAGTGACCATGTTGAACATGCAGAGGATGGAGAATGGCAGCGCTCTACTTCAACTACCTCATCTCAGAGTGAGCGGGCAGAGCGACTCTTGCAGAACCAGCACAAGAGCCTGGCCTCTGAGGACACCAAAAAGAAGAGGGCTCAGAAACCTTCTCACATGCGGAGAAACATAAGGTAAGCAGCAGCAGGACGGAAAGAGTTGAGGCCTATACAGCCTTTTGGGGTGAAAATGGAGTCTGTGGGCTTTGTTTCCGAGCTACGTTTTGCCACTGTTGGCAAACCAGATGGCTTTTCTTTCCAAAACCTTAGGATTTCACCAGTGGGAGTACTGGTGTTCTCAGTCTGGAGTACTGCATGTGGGTGCAGACTTGTTTGGCATTTCAGAAGAGTACAATATACAGTTACAGAATATAGAGCAAAAATTGTGTATCGCTGCTGGTTTTAAAGTCACATAATTGAAAAATAGCACCGCCATTACTTGCTAGTAGATACCTAGTTTCAGGGATATATATTTGTGTAAATACAAACATACATACACACAGATATATATATTAACACAAATATATATATGTATGTGTGTGTGTGTGTGTGTGTGTGTGTGTGTGTCTTCTGCTAATGAGGATCCTATTGCAAATAGCCTAAAATATAGTCCTTCCCTCTGCTATCTTGGCTACTTGTTTGCAGAAATACTCAGACCATGACAGGTGACTGAAGTGTGGGAAATCAGTTTCACCTTAATTCTACAAAGCAGTAATTGTGCCATTTTGTGGCTCCCCACGTATATTGTGTGACAGGGTGTGAGGCCGCAATAATTCACTATGAAATTTAATGCAAAGGGACCTAAATGGCTCAGAAGAGTCATAAGGGAACATGGACTTCTGTGGCAGCAAGTGGCCCTTTTGCTTTGCATGTAAAGTGTTGGTGGTCTTTGGTTCATATTGCAGCTTGTAAGACTGACATCCCTGAAGCTGAAGAAATGACTGTTGAGTAGGCCACAGAGACTGAGACTTCCTTAGGATGGGGATGATGTCCTTACATGCAGGGTTGGGTGACTGGAAGGCCAATTTGGAGGGGGATGGAGTTTACCACTGCTCCTATTATACCTCTCCTCTGGCAAAAGGGCCTTCATTTCTAGGGCTGCAAATCTGAAACTGAGAGTGAAACTGAAAGGGGTGAGAATAAACTTCTGAAAGTAATGGAAATTGCCTATAAAAGTAACGTGCTTGAGAGCAGCATTTGAAATGATTGTTTTAGAGCTGTGAGAGGTCCTAGTTCCTGGTAAGACCGGGCTAGAGGAAAATCCAGGTGATGACTTTTTGGGTCGGAATTGATGTCTTTTCTCCTTACATACCTTCCTTGCGTACCTTTGTGCTTTTCTGTTTATAAACTCCTTAGCAATAAATAACATCCTTTCAGATAGGACTCCTCTGTGGTAACCTAGTTTAAGTATATACTTGCCCAATCACCTTTTTCATCCATTCAGTATTTTGCTTCTGTCACACTTTTGTCTTTTTCCTGAGTAATAGTAGCAGTGCCTGTAGTTGGGAAGCACAGTCTTGACATAGCTGTAGGATTTGTCTGTAGCTTTTGGCTATGATGTTCCTAGTCTGTGTAGCTGGCAGACTACCTGAAGCTTGTCAGTCTTATTTTGGACCAGCTCTACAGCCATCCTAGTTGTTTGGAAGAGATCATTTGAGTGTAACCAAACCGTTTCTCTGTTTGCTCGTCTGTTCAGAAAGCTGTTGCGTGAGGACCAACTGGAAGCTGTGACAAAAGCAGCCCAGCAGGAAGAGTTGGAGAGAAGGAAACGGCTAGAGCAGCAGGGGAAGGATTCCCCAGCCACTATTCCTACTGTACCCATAGAGTTTCTTCCTGGTAAGCAGTGGGAGATGCCAGCTAAAGTAAGAGTTTTAAGGCAAGGAGTTGAATGGAGGAGGAGGTAGTCTGCCCTGCTGCGCTTGCACTCTCAAGATTACGTCCTTCAGTTTGAAACGTGAGTGTTGTGTGGCCCAGTAGCGTAGTAAATTCCATGTTAGAGCCAGTTCTGAATCAAGATGCTGCAACTGCTTAGTGGAAGATACCAGATAACTTTTGAAGATATTTTGATGAGATAATTTTGTGTAAGCGGAATGCTGGAACAGGGCTCTCTTGTCTTTCCGCAACTAATATAGACGCTTAAACAAAGTGATTTGACAGAAATGCTATGTCCTTCAGCCAGATCATATTTGTCCTTTGGATAGTCTGGTGGTACACGAGTCTTGTGCCGGTGATGCTGGAACAACAGCCGGAGTGTACAGATGTTCATGATGTAGCTGTGTCCTTTTTTCCATGTTTAAACAAGCAGCGAAATAGCAGGCAGTATACATGGTTACGCATCACCCCTCCCTTCCAATGAAGGTGGTGCTCCCAGACCCTGGCAGATAACTTTATGTCAGAGTATAGTTATGATAGATAAGATATGTCATCTTGCATTGTCTTTTAACCTGGATCATTTCAATGATCCAGTTAATAGCACAGCCTCTCAGGCTGATGTGGGGGCACAGAAGTGCAGTATAGAGTTGTATCACGGGGCAAGGTGTTCTTAAGTTAGCGTTGCCTCTTGAGAAAATGTGTATTCTCTTTTAAGTGCAAATGTTTAAGAAGTTTTTGTATATGAACAAAAGAGTAAGAGCTATTTAAAACACTTTTAACTGTTGAGGAGTAGGTTGCAGCCCCAGAAGAACGTGGTTGCTTGCTGAGTCACTGCAGCTGTGCTTATTTGGCCCCGTTGAGCTAGCCTCCCTCCCCACGTGGCAATACTTAAACGTACAAACAAATGGTCTTGATCAGCAAAAGTTGTTTATGATATGTGGCATATAATTATTAGTGTCCCTGCTAACAAAGGGCAGTTATCATCCCTTCAGCAATTGGTGCTTTCTCTACTGGATGGGCAGCAGAAGTGGAATGAAGAAAAAGGAAACCCTTTTACTTCTGAGGCAGCAGCAACAACAACAAAAAAAGGGACTTTAGCATGTCCATGGTGAATGTGCCCCAGCCAGGGCTTACAATACAGAGGGTGCCGTGAGCAATGGGCTATTGTTTAGGCATATTGAGAAAGAAGGAGATTGTGACCCAGGAAGCTGAGTCATAGCAGTATTTTAGACAGTGAGAGTCTGTTATGGAAAATTCCAGGGCTAAGTTGTTGGAGCAAAAGTGGAAGGAAATACTGTCTGGTTTCTGAACAGTTTTGTCTCCTTCCCCATTATTATGAATTACTTATTGTCATGTTTGTAGAGGACATCGTTTTCAGAACAGCAGAGGCTACCCAGCTCCCCCCTCAGGTCCTGGCTGAGGAAGTGATCTGCCTAGATAGTACCAGCAGTGGCAGTGAAGATGATGCTAAAGGGAAAAATAGCATTAAAGATGGTAAGTGACCAATTGCCTAACCCTGGTGTTCTCACAACATGCTATTCATTCATCCCCGAGCCTCCTGTTTTCATCTAGCCAAGTATGCCATTAGTGAATAACTTCAGATTTTTTAGGCCTAGTGGTTTCCAAGTATATGGCAAGTTCTGGCCTTTGACTCCTAAACTGGCATTTCTAACCTGGCCTGGAAGGCAGTCTTGCAAACTTGTGTTTGTTTCTGTTTTTTAAATGCACTTAATTTTCCTTAGCGCTCTGCTAAGGAACCTTTACATGAGAGGTAGTGCCATTTGCTGTGGGAAAAAAAGAAAAAAAAGGCATCTGAAATCTGCAATTGAAATTGTTTTTTTTGTGTCCCAATTTGTTTTTTTGATTCCTTTATACCGTTCCAAAAGTGTACTTGTGCCTGGTTTCCTTGGTGGTCCTTAGAGCAGTGTATCAGCAGATGAAATGAATGACTGGATTTGGAAAGTAGGAGGACATTGTGGGGGAAAACATAAAACACTTGGAGAAACTGCCTTATGTTCTCTTTGGATCAGCACAAATTCATGTTCTCCAAAAACTGGGAAACTCATGCTTTCATATGCTGAGCTGAGCACCCTGATGTGTGTATCTGTTTTCTGCCTGCTTGTACAGAAGAGGTCACTAGGCCAGTGTAACGTGCGAAACATGGAATTGCAAAATGTGGTAGCCTTATTTTCCTTTTATGTAAGTTTTTTCCATGCATGATAAACCATGAGGTCAAACTGACCTTTGCCCTTGTTCTCTCCTGTTTTGGTCACTTTACAGAAGTGATCGAGTTGAGTTCAGGAGAGGACGATGCCCTCCAGATTGTGGACAGCAGTGATTCTGGCAATGAAGGGGAGGAAGACGGCAGTGAAGAGAGCAGTGGCTCTCATGTGAATGATGCCTTAAATCAGTCAGATGCTCTGGGGCAAGTCATTGTGAACATCAACCATCCACCAAATGAGGAGGACATTTTCCTGGCTCCCCAGCTTGCACATGCAGTAAAACCTCATCAGGTAGGCTTTATTAGGCTTGGAAATGCAAAGAGTTCAGCCAAGCTTGCTTTGCTTCTGCTTGCAAGTTCTTGCAAGCAGAACTTCTGTGGTGAAATCCATGGCCAATTTGTCTGTGGTGGTGGCTATTGTGGAAAAGAGAAATTAAAGGGCTGGGCTACGTATAACTTTGGCTATTGTTATTATTTGAAAACCAGAGTCCTTAACTCTTATTTCAAGAGCCCATATTCATAATCGATCAAAAGATGGAGAAATGAGAACGTTTTCCTTGTTTCTGGCAGTATTTGTAATTGAATTCCTTCAGCTCTCAAAGGCAAATATTTTAGAAGGGTTAGAGTTCGTTGTGATACCCAAGAAGTTTCTTAGTTGGGTGGCCTGGTGATGGATGATGTGGCGATATCTGGGAAGGACAGATAGGAATGCTTTCCTTGCATGTTTAGATGAGCATTTTAAAAGTCAAATCATATTAATAAACAAACTAACCAACCCCAACTAAAATTCTTTGGCTCCAAATGAATGTGAGATTTACTGGTATCATCTTCTCAGAAAGTTTTATGAGTATCTAAAAATAGTGTCCTTCTCAGTGCTGCCTAGCTTAAAATACTGCAGTGAACTTGAAATGTCCCCTTTGTATTTTCGGGGTTTATAGAATCCTTATGTGTTTATCACTCTGTAAATACATACCCATTTTGTTTTCTCCCACCTTTTGGACACCTCTTCTACTTTTGTCTCCTAGATTGGTGGAATCCGATTCCTGTATGACAACTTGGTGGAGTCCTTGGAGAGATTTAAAACCAGCAGCGGCTTTGGGTGTATTTTAGCACATAGCATGGGCCTTGGCAAGACCATACAAGTCATCTCTTTCTTGGATGTACTTTTTCGGCACACACAGGCAAAGACTGTTCTTGCCATTGTACCTGTAAGTAGCCCATGTGAAGGGCTGACTGATCAACTTCCTTGCACCACTTCTTTCTTTTTGTAGAGAAGGTTGCTTGGCGTCCCATCTCACAGCAAGCTCTCTCATACCCTCACCCTTCCTCTCCTTGCTTCATTCCTTGTGTCCCTGAGTTTGCATGCTGCGGTCTGCTGCTTTTGTCCGGGCGCAGCTCGGTGGCGTTCCCTGCTCTCATTTCTGCTTTTAAAATCCTGAGTGACTGAATTAACTGGATTTTCAGTCCATCCATGGCTAATTTTTTCAGGTGAATACGCTCCAAAACTGGTTAGCAGAATTCAACATGTGGCTCCCAGCACCTGAAAACCTTCCCGCTGAGTATAACTTTTTTTTTCCGCACCTTCAAAGTCCACATCCTGAATGATGAACACAAGTAGGTGCCAGTAAAAGCCCTTTTGAGCTCTTAGACTACTTCTTGTGGAACTGTTACCAGAATTGCTATTGCAGGTTGTTTAGTTTCGGTTAATTCTGTGCCCTGATTCCCAGATCTTTTCCACTCTGCATTTGTTGTATATGCTCTCCTGTGAGGAGGATTTTGGTACCTGGGAGAGATTTACAGTCTCTTGTGTTCTATATTTATATCTTGTACTTTCTTCTCACACTGTTGATTCACCTTTTTGTTCTTCCATGTGTGCTGAGAACAAGAACCCAGTTACCAGAGGAAGAGCTACTTCTGTAAAGACCAGCAGAAGTGCCATGATTTGTTTCTGGTGGTACATTGCTAGTCCCATCAGAGTCCTGGGACTCCTGAGGCATGTGCCTCTTATACAATGTGATGTGTCTCTTATATTTTAAACGTTTTTTTTTTTTTCTCCTGAAAATGTTCACACACTTAGGGATTCCTCTACCCCCACACTGTGACTCTCTGTGAATTGCGTTGCCCTTGAGGGATTCTGGGAAGTTATGCCAAGCTTCCTTGTCCATAAAGGAGAGATCAGTGATTGCAGTTACATCCTGATGTGGAGTGTATTCCTGGCTCGTGGATCTCTGCTTCTTTCCTGGTCATTTGTCTTGCATAGATCAGGATAGTGTAGTGATCTTAGGGAACTCCCAGTTTATCAGCTGTATTCATACACTTATTTGTTGAGGTCCTCACCTCAAGAGTGAAATGGACGTTGAATCTGCTGAGGCTGCTCTGGCCATGTGTTTGCTATTGGATGGGATCTGTTTGTGCTCTGGGAGGAGGGCTGAGGGACGACAATGTCTTTATCTGAACCAATTCTGAGCAAGCCAGCAGGGAAAGAATAACTGGCAGGGAAAGAATAATCAAGGGACACTTGCATTGGAAGAGACAGCAAGGGATAACGAGTAGAGGAGTACAACCAAGTACATTAGCAGCTAATTCTGAAAATGTGTTTTGCAGAGGCTATCTTCTCAACAGCTCTCTTAAAAGGATGCTCTCAAGTTCGATCTGCTTTCACACATGACAGACTTCTGCAGCTCACTTCCTGTAAGGATTTGCCATTCTCAGCCCTTCTACCCACAGCACACTGAAAGGCTGTTTTCTTTTCCTCTTTACTAGATTGTCTCCTTAAAAAGAGCTTCATTGTATTCCTCTTCTGATATGATGCCAGAAAGTGCTTTGATTAATTGAACAGGTCCTTTTCTTCAGCAGGCTCCAAATCAGTGGCTGCAACTGAAACTGAAGAAACAGCGTACAGTTCTTTTTTTTTTTTTCCTTCTTTTTGCAGGACAACAGCTGCACGTGCAAAGGTGGTGAATGACTGGGTGATAGAGGGTGGTGTGCTGCTGATGGGATATGAGATGTACCGTCTCCTCTCACTGAAGAAGTCCTTTGCCGCTGGCAGGAAGAAGAAAACAAAGAAACAAGCTGGCCCTGTCATTATTGACTTGGATGAGGAAGACCGGCAACAGGAGCTTCTGAAAGGTGGGAGTCCAGTGCCCAAGAGAATGTGATTCGGTTATCCTGCTCCAAGTCTGGCAGCACAGGGAAATAACCTGTAACTGCTTATTTCTGTGATCTAATAAGAGTAAATAATAGTCACTCTTAGCTGCTGAGAATGGTTACTTTGTTTTATGCAGGCAAGATTGTCAGGAAGCTGTTACTACAGTGGATGTATTTGCAGTGATTACCTGCTTCCTGCTTGTTTGACTAGAAACTGAAGTCCTCAGTATTAGAACAAGTCTAGAATGGCTTGCTGCCTTTCAGTATCCCTGGTGTGGCCAAGCCTTGCCCAGCACATTTGGGTCTTAGGAGATAGAAGGATGTTTAGTCCAGTCCAGTCTTTCATTTCTTGCTGCAAGTAAGAGTGGAGGTCAGTATGCTGAAGTTAGGGATTTGTCTGCGTGAAGTTTACTAATAGCATCTGATGCAAGACACCCAACTTGCTCCAACGTAGGCTGTGAGCAGAAATCTGGTCACTACCATGTTTTGCTAAATGGGAGATTGTGTGTAGTCACATCTGGTTCCCTGAATCAGCCTTGGTCTCTGCCACCAATGGATATTGCTCTTTGCTTTTCAGAACTACCCCTCTTTTTCCTTTTCTGAAGTTGGTGACCATGTAAAGGCAGAACTTTGTCTTAAACTAACGCTTGTTGTTCCTTGTCCTCAGGGATTGAAAAAGCTTTGTCTCGCCCTGGCCCAGATGTCGTTATTTGTGATGAGGGGCACCGGATAAAGAACTGCCATGCCAGCACTTCTCAGGCCCTGAAGAACATCCGCTCCCGCCGACGAGTAGTGTTGACTGGCTATCCACTCCAGAACAACCTTATTGAGTATTGGTGTATGGTAGACTTTGTTCGACCTGACTTCCTAGGCTCGCGGCAGGAATTCAGCAACATGTTTGAGCGCCCCATCCTGAATGGGCAGTGTATTGACAGCACCCCTCAAGATGTCCGTCTCATGAGGTATCGCAGTCATGTCCTGCATAGCCTGCTGGAGGGCTTTGTGCAACGGTGAGTCCGCAGTGGGTTCTAGTCTAGTCCATGCCAACAGCTCCTTTTTCTCAGCTTAGCCTGCTTGGTTCATGAGTTTACTCAGTACAGCTAATCATGCTGCCTTCTTGAGCTTGAGTTCTGTACAGGTACCTTATCTTTGTGGAAGGATCTTAAGCATATGGAGAAAACCACAGAGGAGATCCTTGGGTTAGCAGCTCCCTATTTGTCTCAGAAGATGTATTTTGTTCAATCTGTCAGCTGAAGAGTGATCCTTATGGTTCTGTTTTGCCTTAGGACTAGAAATAAAGTTAATTTCCTTTGGTACTGCACATCCAGGTAATGAAGAACAGCACCTCTAACTGCACCAGAAGGACCTTGGGTTTCTTTTGATGTCTTAATAGCTAATTTGGATGTGCGTTTTTTGACATCATCGACCCAAGGATTTGAAAGTATTTCACTAACTCTCAGTTATGAAAAGTGACAGCCCCTTGGCCACCCTGGAGAGAAATCAGCTTTGTTTCTCAGATGAGGATCCTGAGATGCTGGATGAGTGATTTTGGTCAGAGTGCCTTAGTCATTGGTAGAGCTAAAAAACAGACCTTAGTTCTTAATTCTGTTTTTCAGCTGTCATGGAAAACAAGATTTTCATCACTCCTCTTAACACTGTGACCTGTACTAGGAGACTGTAACATTTGAGATCCCTCTAACTGTGCTTATGGTTGTTGGTTTTGGCTGTGGTGGGTGTGTCTCAGTGTCATGCATTAGAGAAGCACGTAACTGGAGGTCTTTCTCCCTGCGGCTAGATGGGCAAGAAATCTTACCCTGCAGGCAGCCACAAGGGGACCGAGTTGGGAAATTCCCTTCCCTCTATTCATCTTTCTTTATTGACTCCACAGGCGAGGCCACAATGTGTTAAAAGTTCAACTTCCCTCTAAGGAAGAACATGTCATTTTGGTACGTTTATCAAAGATCCAGCGGGCCCTTTATACGGAGTTCATGAACCGGTTCCGAGATGCAGGCAACAGTGGCTGGCTGGGATTGAACCCACTCAAAGCTTTCTGTGTCTGTTGTAAGGTAGGTTTTGGCAAGAGATGCAAAGAAATATTGCAATATGTAAGGAAAAGGCAGGAATATTAATCAAAACAGCAGAAAAAAGTGTGGTTAGCCAGGTACATCTTAAGCGAAAGAGAACTTCTCGCCACAGAGTTCCCTGCAATGGTCCAGCAGATTTATTGTTCCCAATAATTCAGAACTGGGGTGCAGGGATGTTAAATGACTTGCTCATATTCATGCAAGAAGCCTGCAGTGAAGCTGTCGTCTGAACCAGTAGATCTAAATATTGGGCAGATACCTTAGCCATTCATCTGCTACAGTGCAAACTAGCAGCTTCCTCTGCATTTGTTACGTGTGGGGGTGCACAGTGACCTGTGTTGTTCTCAAGGAACAAATTTGACAGTTTTAAAATCAGGAAGAGCCTTGGTTACTATGGTTCGTACCTTGTGTCATGGCAATCATGTTTTCTGTTTTCACTACCTTAGTGCAGACTGGCTTTCTCTGCAGCGCCCTAAAATTCCATGGGGGGAGGGTGATTAGATGATTGAAATATTAATTTTTTTCCTTCAAATAGCTGTGGGGGCTTTCAGTCTACACACCTTGGCAGGCAGCAGGCCAACCCAGCCCTAACCATTATTTTTCTTACTCATTCAGATCTGGAACCACCCAGATGTGTTGTATGAAGCTCTTCAAAAGGAGAATCTGACAAATGAGCAGGATTTGGATGTGGATGACCTTGGCACAGCAAGTACTAATTCCCGCTGCCAGCCTCAGGGAATTAAAGTCAAAACAGAAAGTAGTGCTTTGCCATCACCGATTGGAGAAGCTACCAATAGCAAGTTCCTCCAGAGCGTTGGCTTCAACCCTTTTCAGGAGAGAGCGAATCAGGTTGTTACTTATGAGTGGGTGAGTACCACTACTGGAAAACTCTTCATTTGGAGAGTTATAATAAACAAAGACTAGATACTTACTCTCTCAAACTCTCTCAAAGACTATACTTCTTGTCTGGGCAGTTTTCTGAAGAAGAGTAAAGAAAAAATTCTTATGTTTAAGAGTTGGAGATTTCTCATCCATTTTCTCTACCACAGAGCTGTCTCTTGTTAGCATCTTGATCAGCGGGTCTGCATGGCTCTGGGTGGGTATTTAGGGACTCTCAGGGGGTTGGAACACAGGAGGCAGTCTTTTATAAATTATTTTCATCTGACCAAAAAGGCTGTGGGCTTTCTTATTCTAAAGAAGTGTTTGGCTGAAGTTCAATCTAGATAAGATGGTGGTAAATCTAGTGGGCTGGAAGAAAGATCTTGAAATAAGAGCAGGGAGTTAGGAGAGGGGTTAGGAGGATGCTCATTTATCCGTACTCCAAGAAGTTTGTCATTTGGAGCTTCTGGAATAGGAGGTAGCAGCAGTAGTTAAGAATAACATTGTCCCCTGGACCCGACTGGATGTATGTAACCTCTATGCAATGACTTATTTCTTTCACCTTGAGACAGGGTTGTTGAACTAAACAGGGAATGAGCAACTCCACCTGTAATAGTCTCCTGTTTCTTGGTAGGCCAAAGACATCTTGTGTGATTACCAGACAGGAGTCTTGGAGAACTCACCCAAGATGGTGTTACTGTTCCACTTAGTGGAGGAGAGCATGAAGCTTGGAGACAAGATCTTGGTCTTCAGGTAAGAGAAGCGTCAATGGCTGATCCTACTGGATCTGGAGTAATGGAAATTCATACTAGGAGGTTGTTACATAGAATGAATTATGTGGCAGTTCCCCTTTTCTCCTTTGTTGTACTGGATCCTGTTTTTCCTCTGTGGATTTTATGCTCCCTTCCCCTATCAAGTTTAATATCAAGAGGTGTGCTGCAGCAGGCAGGGTTTGATGACCTCTAATGCTAGCATGGTTGGGGAGCAGTTGTGATGTTCCAGTTTTGCTGCTGGGGCTTTCTCCTAAACAGAGATCTTGTTTTACAGCCAGAGCTTGTCCACATTATCTGTCATTGAAGAGTTTTTGGCAAAGAGACCAATGCCGAGTCCTCCAGGTTCAGATGGTGGAGTTCACAACTGGGTCCGAAACATCAGCTATTACAGTGAGTGCAGCCTGTCCTCCCTCTTTTGGTGTGATGCTATTTGATCCTCTGTGATGGATTAATTCCTGAAAGTGTTGACCATCTTCTCATAGTTATCACTGGGTGTGCAGCTGCTCTTCCTCTGAAGCATTCTTCTGAAGATATCTCTTTCAGACTGATCTTTCTTTAGTTGCTCAGGAAAATGGTGTTAGTTTGATTGCAACTAACTGATAATTTCTCAATGGTCTTTTTGACATCTTAGAAGATGTTAGACATCTTTGCCATTTACTTGCTCACTGGTGCTTTTTAAAGCTGTAAAAGACATTTTTTGCTTCCTGCTTGGCCATTGTGTAGATCTTGCTTCCCAAACCAGAATTGCTGTGGAAGCGTTCTACTGGTTGGGTACTGTGAATTCCTTCCCCCCACTTTCCCCAGCTTTAACACTTGTTCTGGCATGGGTTGTCGCTTTATGTGGCTGCTTTATGGGCTTTATGGGCCAGGACTGAGAGGAGGGGTGGGTATGGTGTTCCTAGTTTTGGAGAGCTGCCAGAAGCAACCTGCTGCCCAGAAACAGATGTGCCACCCCCTGCACTCCTTCAGACTATTTTTCTTTGTGCTGAGATCCAATCTGTGGGATTTTGCCAAAGCCTTGCACAGTTTGCTTTTTCCTGGTTTCTCAAGCTTCTAGGGTACTGACACCTTTGGGCCTGCTGCTCTTGCTTCCTGTCTGTCTTGCCTAATACGGAGCCTTAAAGTCGTAGGTGTGATGTAGCACTCCTATTCTTGGCCTTGCCTAGCTCGAATACTGTTGCATGAAGCCAACGTGGCTGGCTGCATTGCACCTGCCAGACAGGGCAAACTGGGGACACAGAGTGGACTAGCTGAGGTCCTGGAGTGCAGGACTTGACGGGGGTCCAAAGGGGATTGGGAACCAGTGACAAAGCTCAGTGTTTGGGAAGTGGGTTAGTTCTGATGGGATCCCTCATATGGTGCTTTTGAACACGTCCTTAATTTCCTTCTCAGGACTGGATGGCAGCACCTCTGCCTCAGAAAGGGAACGCCTGATTAACCAGTTCAATGACCCCAGCAACACTTCTGTCTGGTTATTCTTGCTGTCCACACGGTAAGTTGCCTGGAGCAGAAGGATGCTCAGTATGCGCATGGGTTTTCAGCTCTGAGATTCCTTTGTACTTGCTTGCTCTCCAGATTGTATGGGACAATAGTGCCATCTGCGTCTAAATTCTCTATAAGTGTAGAATTTTAGCCCTGGTCCTCTGCAGATAGTTAACAACAGTCTTGGAAGCCAGAAATCATTCTGAAGTTCCCTCCTGTATAACTGGAGGGAACTTTCCATAGATAGAGTCCGTGGACTCTTGGCTGTGGTGGCTTCCCCTGCATAAAAACTTTGAAAATTGACCAGGGCAGCAGGTGGAAATTTGCCTTTAATTTGCAGTGCTGGGTGTTTGGGTGTCAACCTCATTGGAGCAAACAGAGTGGTGGTGTTTGATGCTTCTTGGAACCCGTGCCATGACGCCCAAGCTGTGTGTCGAGTGTATCGCTATGGACAGAAGAAGCCATGCCACATTTACAGACTGGTTTCTGATTACACCCTCGAGAAGAAGATCTACGACCGCCAGATCTCCAAACAGGGCATGTCAGGTAAGCGTGGACACAGCGCTCAGCTCTTGGCTTTCCCTCCTTTTGGCTCTTAGTCCTATTTCTGTGGTTTTCATAATACCTTTTCTGTTTCGGGAGGCAGGGGGAATTGGAAAACCGAGCAGCCGAAGAAGTGACAGAGGCACATAATGTTAGGGCAATGTTTGATGTTTATGAGTTGACAGTGATATGAGAGCCTATAAGAAATGGAGGGCAGAGCAGTAGGGGCTGTAGAGCCAACACCTTGCAGCAGGGTTGTGCTGCCAGTCCCATGCTTGTGCCATCTACCTTCCTGGCTGCGCACTGCAGCCCCAGGTCTGCCTCTCCTGGAGGTTCAGCTTTGTCTGGGCTTCTGCACTGCAGGTTGGAGCAGTACAAATCAGAGTGGAAGTAGCACAGTCTTGGTGATTACTGTAAGAGACTGGGGGTTTGGGAGGTGGTTGTTCTGTTTTCTCCTATGCCATTGCTTGTCTTAGACTGGGCGTTACTTATTAAATTGCTCTGTGCCTCCATTTCCCCATCAGCAAGGAAAACAGCCAAATAAAAATATATGCTGATATCTTTGAATGATAGTGCCTTCTTAGGAGCCAAGAATAATTCATTCATTCCAGTTCTGACCTGCCCTTGTACAAAAAGTACCTTTTGTGCTGTCTTGTGCCAGATGTTGAGCTGGTTTTGTAGTGCATGCAGGTGAGGGTTGTGGTGACCCAAAAAGAGTCCTGCTTCCCTGGGTCCTGCTTTCTCTCCAAAACCAAGTCCAGAGGCAGCAGCCCAGTGTGATCCTGTCAGTGTCCTGTCTTTGCACTCAAGGTGGAGTCTCTTGGCAGCTGGCCTTGCTCTCAGGAGAGTCCTGTACATAGATGTTTTTCTTCTTGTGCTCCCATTTGCCCTGTGTGCAAGAAGGAAGGTCCAAGGAAAGCTTTCAGGCTCTTGTGAGGGAGGGATTGTGGATGGTTTTCTGAGCTTTTGACTCAACAGAGTTCTGTACATTTCAGTTCCTGGTTATTAACTTGAGCCTTTTTGGTGGGGGACACATACTGATGTGGCTGCTTTTCTGTCCCAGGGCTTGTGAAACAAGCTTCGTGTTCCTGTATGCCAGCAATTCATTGGCCTGTGTTGCGTTGCTGTGCTGTGTGGAACACAAGGCATTTGTCAACCTTACTTGGTGAAACAGGCTCATCTCTGAACATGGTGGATGATTTTTCTCCCTGCTCTGACATTTACAAGAGGCTTCTGAGGAAAGTACAGATTACAAGGAGGGAAATATTTTAGGACAGGAGTGTAGGAAGGGCAGCAGGCAGCAGTACCCCTCTCTGTCCTTCTCTGCTCACTCCGTTCCCTCCCTTTTCCAGATCGGGTGGTGGATGATCTGAACCCGGTGCTGAACTTTACCCGACGGGAGGTAGAGAACCTGCTGCATTTTGTAGAAGAGGAATCTGACCCTGCTCAACTCTCCCTCAATCCAAGCAAGATGAAGGAGTCTGTTCTACAATTAGCCTGTCTCAAGTATCCTCACCTCATCACCAAGGTAAGACTGACCTGCTTGCTTGCTGGTGCTATCATGCACAGGCAGGAGGAGGTCTGGAGAGCCCTGGCTGTGTGATGAGGACATGGTGGCAAGACTTTTGGGTGCTGGTGGGAATAGGGACAAGTTCCTCTAGAGAGAACCTTGAGAGCCCTGCCCTTCCCTGCAATATCTCCAACACTTAGAGCTGCCTCTATCCTGCACAGGTTTTGGGGGGCAGCCCTTTCTCCAGTTTGGTCCTGTGCCAGGAAGGTGGCCATCTCATTTCCTGGCTTGATGCCAGCTCTCCTCCGGGGGTGGTTTTAGAACAAGGGGATGATGCTGGGACAGCCAACACTTGCCTGGGTTTGGGAGAGTTTTGCTGGTAGAATGCTGCTGCAGACTGGGCCTGTGGCCAGGCACTGTGGGGCCCTGGTTGCTGTGTGTTATCTTGTCAGGCTCTGCACTTGTGCTCTTAGCTGGGCCTTCAGGTTGTGGGTTTTGCTGCACATTCGTGGTGAGCGAGGGTCTTGGTTGGGAAGATGTGATGGCTCAACTGGCGCTCAGTCACTCGTCAAACTGTGCCTCGATCACATCTACACCATGCTGCCGGACATGCCATCCCATGACCAGCTCTGCCTCCCAGCTTCCCTCTTCTCCACTCTGGTGTGGGATGGAGAGCCTGCTGGCATGTGGGGACAGGGTGGTTGCCATGTGGGGCACTTTGGTTCCCTCTTGTGGTGTGTTGGTGTCAAAACCCCTGTGCTTTGGGGTTGCAGGAGCCTTTTCAGCATGAATCACTGCTGATTGACCGGAAGGAGCACAAGCTGACCAAGGCAGAGAAGAAAGCAGCCAAGAAGAGCTACGAGGAGGAGAAGCGAGCATCCGTCCCCTACACCCGGCCGTCCTACGCACAGTATTACCCAGCCAGTGACCAGAGTCTGACAAGTATCCCTGCCTTTAGCCAGAGGAACTGGTGAGTACCTGCCCCTTCCTCTTCTTCCCATGCTGCAGATTGAAATGAGGGGGGCAGAGGAAGCTTAGCCCTGCCCATAGAGGCACTGTACTTTCCTCCCTCCTCTCTCACTAGGAGACCAGCCCTCAAGGGTGAGGACAAGCCAGTGGCAAGCGTCCGCCCAGTTCAATCCACCCCCATTCCTATGATGCCCCGGCATGTCCCCATGGGCAGTGCAGGATCAGCCTCGAGTTCCAATCCTGCTGTCAACTTCCCCATCAACTATCTCCAGCGAGCCGGCGTCCTCGTGCAAAAGATTGTCACCACCACAGGTGAGCTGCTTCTGCAGGACTGAGCCAGGAGACATGAGCTTGAGATCATGACAGACGGAGTGCTCAGAGAGGGTGGAAGCCCGTTCTTTGGTCCATCCTCCAAATTTCTCCTGTGGCCATGGGCTGTGGGCACAGAGGCATCAGAGCTGCTGATGCTGTCTGTCTGTTTCTGAGGTGTTCCACAGTGTCTGGGGGACTTTCTGTTTGGGTTTTTTAAGGGGTGTAGGCCTGGCAGGTTGTTAGGAGTGAACTCACTGCAAGAGGGCCTGCAGTACTGCTTTCAACAGGGAGTTACCAGTTGTCCTTTTGGGGACAGGTGGAGACCTTGTGCCAGAGCAGTCTGTGTTTTACTTCCTCCAAGCCCTGTGCTTTTCCGCTCTGCTGCCTCTGGTGTTACTCAGAAATAAATTGAATGCTTGCTTCTAGCGCAGCACGTGGGGGAAACAACTGCACTGCAAGCAGAGGAGTTTGGTGGTGCAGTTCCTTGCTCTTGACTGTGGCTGGTGTGCAATTTCACAGGCACTGTTCTGTTTCCTCCCACTGCCAGATATTGTCATTCCGGGTACAAACACGTCCACTGATGTACAGGCAAGAATCAGTGCTGGCGAGAGCATCCACATCATCCGAGGGACTAAAGGTAAGTCCCTCTATCTCAGTAAGATTTGTGGATGGAGACCTGAGCAATGCTAATCAGCAAAGAAAGGACCTAAAGGCGTGACTCAGTCCTTTGAGAGGAAAATGCAAGAAGGGGAGAAGATCTGGACCTTGCAGTGGCTCAGTTGCCGCCCATGCTTTGGTGTGTTGCTATAGCTGATGCTTCAGGGATGATTTCTGCTGTGGCTACTCTGGCCTCTAAGAGGAGCTGTTGAACTTCAGGACGAGACATCTTGCTCACACAATGCCCGCTGCACATACTGGGGCAGCCAAACACTTCCCAGTGCTCCTAGAGCAAACTTAGCCCCAAACACCAAGTGTCACACTTCCCACTGGCAGTACGTTGAGAGGGGGTGAGCTGTGACCCCAGGAAAGCTGAAGAGGGGGAGGTGAAGAGCAAGGAAGGGGGCAGAAGCTGCCACTGATCTCCCTTCATGGGCCTGGCCTTTTGCAGCACTGCTGTCCTGTTGCTGTCTGGGCAGCCTTGCTGGCTCACCGCTCCGCGGTCCAAAGGTGAGACCAGAAATCATGCATGAAGTTGTTCTGCCTCTGTTCAGGGACATACATCCGGACCAGTGACGGGCGGATTTTTGCTATTCGGACCACTGGGAAGCCAAAGGGCAATGAAGACCATCGGACAGCTGCCTCAGGTAGGGGCTTGTGAGCATTGCACGGGGCTTGCTCGTGAGCTTTCCCACCTGAGTGTCTTTTGAGTGGTGTTCGCTGGCCTTCTTCCATCAAGCCTGTGTCCAGGAGAGCCAGACTGACCCCACAATCTCCCCATGTTGTCCCCACCTTCTTTGTCACTTCTGCCCCTTCCCCATCCCTTTGGCCCCCCGGGATTTTCCTCTGAGCTTGTCTTTCTCACCTGTTCCACGTCCTTTGTTCCAGGCTCCCAGAGCTCTTCGTTGGAGTCCACGAGCAATGGCAGACACAGTGCCTCATCACCGCAGCTCCCCAGCGCGGAGGAGCTCACTCGGCCCATATCCCCCGACAGCCCCGAGATCATCAGTGAGCTGCAGCAGTACGCAGAGGCGGCGGCTGCTCGGGAGTCCCGGCACAGCTCTCCCAGCACCAATGCAGCGCAAGGCCACCCTGCCCGCACGGACAACGTGACCGGCTTTGCAGCCCGAGGAGCTGAGCAGCGTGCAGGGATTCACTGCATGGCTCCCTCTGTGTCTTCGGCCCTGCCGGCCACCAGCCAGCACGTCGATGGCCACTCAGTGTTGGACTTACGGGGCAACAAGCGCAAGTCGACCTCACCGTCGGCTCCAGAGGAACAAGCCCGCAGGCAGCAGAAAAAGCGCCAGTTGCCATCGTCCGTGCAGCCGTACGAACACGGGTACCCAGTCTCTGGTGGGTTCACCATGCCTCCTGTCTCTTTAAACCACAACCTATCCCATCCATTTGCCTCCCAGCCAGGAAACTCCTTATACATGGGCACTGGCTCCTCTTATTACCAGCTGCCCAATTTACTCCCAGACCCTCATCTGGTGTTCCCTGTGACTACTGACCCTCTGCTGACAGCCGGCACCGCCAGCTCTTCTGCTGCTACCTCAGCCACCGCCAGCGTCCCCTCATTCATGCTAAACCCTTCTCTGACGGGGGTGCTGCCCAATTACTCGCTTCCCTTCACGCAGTCACTCCTGCCCGAGCCCAGGATGTTTGCTCCTTTCCCAGCCCCCGTCTTGCCTAGCAGCCTTCCCAGGAGCATGGCATCTGCCTACCCTGGCTACATGTCCCCTCACTCGGGCTACCCGGCCGGGGGGCTCCTTCGGTCCCAGGTGCCTCAGTTTGAACCCCAGGAGGTCCCAGAGGTGGGATGCAGCTCCAATGACGAGGACAAAGACGACGATGTTATAGAGATCACAGGGAAATAACGGGCCCAGCTCCTGCTCGGTCTCAGCTCAGCCAGGAGGCAAAAGTTGCAGGACCTTTTTGGGAGTCAGGATTTCCCCTCTGGGCCATGGCATCGGGTGGAGAAGGATGTGAAGGGGGTGGTGTGGGGTTTGTTTTGTTTTTTTGTTTTGTTGTTTTTTAGCTGTCAAGGATCTGAATTGTATCGGGTGCTGGGAGACTGGGGGGGATAGAGTGGACCTGTGAGGGCCAGGGAATCAAGAGCTGGGGGAGGGAGGGAAGCAGCAATGCAAACCGCAGGAGTGCCTCCCTCCCACGCTCTGTCTGTCTATCTGTCTCTGTTCTCTGTCTTGTCTGAAAGGGGGAGGCTTGGTGTTGCGAGTCGCTGCCCTTCTCAGGCCTGGAGGCGCAGGCTTGACTGCTGGCAGGGCCAAGCTCCCTCTCACATGAACTGCCTTATCTGTGAACTTGTCTCACTCCAGGAGGTGTGGGCTGGGGAGTGGGGACTCCAGCAGAGGTTGGGGATGAAGCGTTTTTAGTCGAGAGGGAGCAGGGGGGGGCTGCTGCATGTGTGTTTGGGGGAGGGGGAGGGATTGATGCTAGGGGGGAAAAAAACCACAAAAAAATTTGTTTGTCATCCTCTACAAACTCAAATGAAACTAGTCTGAGGGCTCCAGCCAGGCTCCTGCTGCAGTGAGGAGGGCAGGGTGGCTGGCAGGGGACTCCCCGGAGCCCTTCTGGAGGAGTCTCGTCCCAGGTAGGTTTACCCTGTGGTTTCGATGCCGACTCTGCGGAGCAATCCCCACAATCTTGGTGGCTGTTGGAGGGGAATCCTGGTGACTTCCCCAGCTCTGCTGTGTGAAGGGCACAGCTCTCCTTGCCGTGGCCCAACAGACCTGGGGGGTAGGTGGGCTCTCTGCTGCTTCTCAACAGCCCCAGGCAGTGGAGAAGGTTGGAAAGGGATACAGTTCTGGACCCAGTGCCCGTTGCTGTTGACTCTGTGATCGGAGTGACTTCCCCCGCACAGAATCTCTACATTAATTTATTTCATGAAGGCATAATATTTATTGTTTGGGGGACTCTTTCTTTCTATTTTTAAATTAATTTCCATGTTAAAAAAAATAAAATGCTGGCCTCCATCATGCAGTGGTTGCTTGTTGGGTTATCTGTGTGGGGAGAAGAAGCCATTTGACCAAAGCGTAGTCTAGAAGCAGGCCCAGCTGCGGAGGTTCCCTCTAGCTGACTCGTGTTGTGTTTGCTGGATGTGCCCTACGGGGGGTCATGCCAGAGCAGGGAGGAGCTGCTCCCGGCATTTTGGAGCAGCTAGAGGGAGGCTGGAGTCCTCTTGTTGTGTTGGGGCAGGTGGAGGAGTGCATGTAAAAGCTTCCTGTGCTCATCCCCAGCGAGGACGAGGCCTCGAGGTCTGACAAGTTGGAGAGGCCGAGCTCCTTCCGGGGAGCACCTTTCGCCTCCCAGGTAGCGTCACTGGATCTAGCCCACCTCTGCCGGCGTACGCACGTGCAGGGACTGGTCCGAGAACTGAAAAGGAATAAAGTGGCTGTTCGTCCCAGCATCAGGGCTCCAGCCTCTCTCTGGGAAGAGAGAGGCATCTCAGTGCGAGTTACACAACTGCAGCTAGACTGTGTGTGTGTGTCTGTGTGTGTGTGTCTGTGTGTGTGTGTGTGTATGTGCACGCGCATATGTGTGTGTGCGTTAGGGATGGAGACTAGAAACCCGGGAACCTCTGTGTCACATCTGGTGTCAGCAGGCACCTGTGAGGGATATTCTTGGAGCATGGCCAGGATCTTGGCACAGCAGTAGCTTGTAAAGAGACTTCCTGAGCTGTGGAAGCCGCAGTCGGTAGTGCTTGCTGGGACCAACTAGGTTTAGGAAGAGAGGACAGGATGTCCTGACATACTGCATCGAAGGGGCTCTGGAAGATGGGGACCTTCCTTCTTGAGAGAGAGAAAGAGAGCAAGAGGTGTGTGTGCACGCATAGTACAAAAGCATAATAAAAATGTTATGGGGCTTTCCTAGTGTCTTTCTCTGTTTAATGGACGTTGTCTGTCAAACATAACCACACCCTTCATAGAAGCCTTAGATCAACAGTTTAGCTATGCAAATTATTTTAATTATTTTTTTAAAAAAACAAACATTAAAATAGTGCTTTCTTCTTTAACATATCCTAGGAGTTGAAAACCGAGGGGTTCTGAGCAAACTGCTGGACAACTTGTCTTTGGATGCACCATGGAAATAAAAATCAAACCCCCCCACAAATAACAAAGCAAATTAACTGATGGTGTTCATGCAAGTTTCTCCAAAGACTTGACAGTGCTGCGTCTGTGAGTCATGCCCTCCTGTGCTCTGTGTGTCCACCTCATGCACAATCCTGTGACACTGATTGTATTACAAGCTTGCCCAGATGTCCGTTGCATCCCTGTGAGGCTGTCAGATTTCCGGTGGATTTGGGGAATGGACCTAGGCAAGGGATTTCCTTGTCGAGGGTAGCAAGTTTTGAGACCTGCAGGAGTGTAAGTGAGACCTGTGGGAGGCCAGTGTTGCCTCAGAGCTTGAGCAGACTGTAACCGGAGCCCTGCCGCAGCCTGGGTCCGTGGTGGTGGTGGGCAAGGTAGCTGGGCTCATCCGAGTGACCCTCCTGATTCCTCTTTGAACGGAGCTTTTCTGTGGCTCTGTGCTGAGAGGAGGCATGAAGATTTGGCTCGGGGCAGTAGGGCACTGTGGCTCTGGATGCGGTGCCTGTGACTGCACGCTGTTTTCTCTGCTCGTTGCCTCTCCAGGAAAGCACGAGAGAGAGACTTGCAGAGGCCCCTGTGTCCAGCACTGCACCGAGCAGGCCCTCGTGCATTCCCTTCTGCTGGGTGGCGTGCTCCTGGTGGGCCCCTGGCTTAGCCCGAGCCCGGTAACCATAGGAGCTAGAGGTGACTGGTGCTCGGCTACTGTAGGAAACGTGCTTCGTGCTGCTAGGTGACAGCTTTGTTTCTTGTGGGCTGACTGCTAACCTTCCTGCACAAGGGTGAGATGTGATGGCTCTCCAGGCTCCTCTGTGGCCCCAGCAGCTAGGAAACCCCTCACAACTGTCCCATTGTGTGGCCGCCCCTGGAAGTGACCCACTGCAAGGGGCTTCCTCTATTGCTGACAAACATCCGGGCAGCCGTAGCGTGCACCACGTCCCTGCACTGCTGGGGCTGGCAGGAGCGGCAGGAGTGCCTGAGTTGAGCCCCAGTCACCCTTTTGGAGCATGGCTGGGCAGTGTGGCACTTCTCCACCCCACATACCTTCCTGGCTTCCTGCCTAGCCCTTGAGAAACCCCCTTTCATGGGTGCAGGGTGCCCTGTCCCTCTGTCAGAGCCTTGAGTGAGAGATGGTCACATCACCTGGGGCAGCAGATTGCCATAACACCCAGAGTCCCAACCATAGGGCTCCTCCAGTGACTGGCAGCTTCCAAAGCTGCTCCGAGCTGGCCAAGGGAGGCATGTGGCTGTGGGCACCAGCTTTCACATGCCTCTGTAGGGAAGTGGGAAAGGATTTCCTCTGCACCATTGAAGCCACAAGGGTGTGCAGGTTATCTGGGCTCTTTCTGAATGGGAGTTTTAGGTCTCTCTGAGCCCTAAAACTCCTCCTATCCCGTGGGGTTCCCTCTTCCCTCATCCCTCTGCTCCAGACTTATCTCCTCTTTAGCATGTAGTTGTGCTTTAGAGGGTCCTGTCTTGGTTTTCTGAGCCTGGAACAGGGGCTTTCCCTGCATGGGTTGAATTTTTTATTTTGCTGCTGAATTTATCTTCAATGAACTGATGGAAGCAGCTGGCAGTTCGTGGCTGGGCTGCAGGTGACACTGAGGACAGCAGTGCAGGACCCTCCGTTGAGGTATTTGGACACTAAGGAAGATTCCTGAGCGCAGCCCAGACGCTGAGGCAGTCGTGTGCTCCTGAGGTGCGGCAAGCTGTCCCCTTGAGCGAGCACCTGCCTCTGAGCTCTTTCCTTAAGCGGAGGTTTCTGCTCCCTCTCCGGCTGCAGCAGGAACAGTTGGGCAAAGCTGCATATGTACCACTGCAAGACACTGTGGGGTGGGTGGGGAGTGACCTGTGACTGTGACATGCCCAAGAACATCCCGGCAGTTCCTCACGCTCAGTTGGGTTGTCAGCCACTCACTCGTGAACTGGTGTAGTTCTCCAGGCAGCAGTCTCTTGGGCTCAGTGTGGCAGGTGTCTCAGGGAGACAGTGGCATAGGGGCAGTGAAGCCTAGCCTGGCCTGCATGCAGTGAGTGCTGGGGCAGGATCTGCTGCATGTTTGCTCCTAGGAGCACCTAGGAGATTGACGGAGTGGCTGCAGATACTCAAAGAAATACTTCCAGTAAGCAAAGGATGGGATTTCCACAGGTGCTTCACAAAAATTGCCTATATTTGGCTTCATGATGTCAGCTAATGGCTAAATGCAAGAAAATTGCTGTTGGTTTATGGATGGTTTCCAGGCCAAAAGGGGCAAGTACAGCAAGTATCGTCACAACTGCTGTTTCTCTCTATTCTAGGATGAAGTTTGTTAATCCAGTCTTGGAAGGGCAGGGGGTGGGGGTGGGGGGGTCAAAGATTAAAAGGGGAATGTAGTCCAGCTAGATTACATTGGGGATGAGGGCTCCTTGCAACTTAAACAGAGCGCTCCATTCAAAGGGAAGACGCAGCATGAATGAGGGAGAGCAACCTCTGCTGCCTCCCAAACCACCACCACTACGCACTGCCCACGGTGGCCCAGTTTTGTGGCGCCCACGTTGGTAGCACCCAGCTCGGATCTGGAGTCTCATCGGCAGATCCACATGTACAGGGGAGCCTGAATGAATCCACTGATGAGTCTCATTTTGGATTTTGGGGGTTATTTTTTGTCTTTTTTACTACCGCCTTAGTTTGTGGTCTGTCTTTTTGTGATTGGAAAGAGCAGTATCTCTAGCAGGGTGGGTTGGTCAGTTGGCCCCACGCATGATCATGTGCTTCCCTCTTCTCTCTGTCAAGCGGGATGTGCTCGCCTGATCTCCCAGAACAGAGACTTTGAACAATTGTTGTTTATATGATGTATTTATTTTTACTTGTGTTTCATGTCATTTTTTTAAAAAATAATAAATTGTAAGTTGGTATAACTGCCTGTTGTTTCTTTCGGTAAAATGAACTTCAAAATTATAAAAAAAAATGTGTGGTTTAAAGTGGAACATGGTTGCGTTGGGCAAGTGCAACACAGGCAAACCCAGATCTCCTGCTGCCAGAGCCCCGCTCAGCAAGCAGCTTCTGAGCACCAGCTCTGGTGCGAGGTGCCAGTGTGGGCAGGCCAAGGGGGCTGTGCCCAGCTGCCTTGGGGCGTCTGGGTCCACTTATGTCCATGGTGGAGTCCGGATGCTGCCTGGTGTTGGGGAGCCATGCATGAAAACTGGCTGTTTCCATTCTCGCGTGTCTGTTTGCTATTGCTGCCAATAACAATTGTCATTAAGGGACAAGGAAAAAACTAGGAGAATAAATACTTTGCAGGGTGTAAATAGCTTTGAGTCTTGGTGAGCTGGTCCAGACTGTCTGCCCTTGCCCTGTTGTGCTCTGTGGGGGCACACAGAGAGGCAGAGGGGACTGGCACGGTTTGAGGTAGTAAATGCAAGGCATTTTCTGCACATGAAGCTGAGAGGTGTCTTGGAGCTGGTGCCCATGTGCAAAGAAGGGCACTGGAGAATTGGTGAAGGGAGCTGGCGCCTGTGCCTTGTGCAAACCCCAGAGCCAAGGCAGCCCCCGGCCTGCTCTGCATGGCTACAGTGGGTGAGGGTGCCGCCGCACTCGGCCCTTCTTACTTTCCGGGGAGTGGTGCTGCCATTTCTGGTGCCAGGCTTTCTGCCGCTGCCTTTCCTGGTGCCGCAGGGCATTGCAGTAGACAGCGAGGCTGGTGCCTGGTGCCCCAAGGGCCCGTGGGACCCCCTTGTAGCCCATCTGCAGGTCTATTCGGGGCTGGGGGGCCTGGTAGTTTCCTCCTAACTCAACCTCCTTGCCCTGTTTGTAGGGTGGCATCTCCATTGCCTCGTGCTTGATGACACGAAGGCTGTAGCGGGTGAGGGACCGTGAGAAGGAGCGCTCCACGGCCTGGCACTCATAGGTGCCAGCATCCTCCCTCGCCAGCTGGCGGATCAGCAGCCCTTGCTCCAGCATCAAGAAGTGGCCATTGTTCCTGACCTGGGCAAAGGCAGAGCACTGTGAGTTGATCCCCTGGTGCTACACCCAGCTGAGCTGTCCCTGGGTCCTGTGCCCAATCCCCGCTGCCCTGTCCCCCATACCTCATTCAGGCCTGGCTCCTTGCTGTGCTGCACCAGCCACCGGATGGTTGTCTGGGGTGAGCGAGCCAGGCACTCGAGGAAGGTTGAGTTCTTCTCCACCCCAAAAACCAGCTTCTCTCCTGCAGAGGTTCCTGTGGGGGGATAGTACAGGAGAAGGGGTGACTGCCCAGCCCTGCACTCCCTGGGTTGCGTGACAGCACAGGGAGGATGGCTGGAGCTGCCGTGAGGTGGGTACAAGGCAGACAGCACGTTCGGTGCCAGCGCAGGCCCCAGCAGAGGTGTCCAGGACATGGAGGGTAGCATGGAGCCAGCTCTGCCAGGTCTGTGTCTGTGGTAGATAGTGCAGATATGCAGACACTGATTTCTCAGTGCCGTGCTGCCCTGGCAGCACCTGCCCACCGGTGTTCTGGGCAACGCTTAGCTGCCTGGGCTGGGACCTTCTTGCAGGGGCTGGAGCTGGTGCTCACCCTCTGTGGTGTCCTGGCACTGGCTGAGCAGATCAGACTTCAACACGTCTTGGCACCGGGCCTGCCTGTGGGAGCAAGCAAAACTCAACTGTGGGGCAGCGCTGGGTGGTGGCACCCACCCGGGCTGTGTGCCGTGGGACCCCTCAGTGGCAGAGCAATGAGGGACAAGGGGAGGGCTGAGGTGGGGCCAGCATGGAGCAGAGAAGGTGGCAGTTAGAGGTCTTGGTGGAGGGGGAAAGCCTCCAGGGCCAGCGGCTTGTCCTTCCCCATGCCGTACCCCTCCCTGTGCAGGGGGCAACAGGGCTGGCCCAGGCAGATGCTCACCTCTTCTCCGTGAACAAGTTTGGGGCACAGGTCTTGCTGTCCCAGGTGCAGTAGGGGTCCCTAGCCAGGCAGCAGTCAGTGCAGGCTTTGCCGTAGAGCTCGCAGCGGTACAGGGAGAGCTGGAGCAGCCCATGGGTGCTGCTCACAAACAGTTCCTGCTGCTCAAGCAACCAGAACAGCAGCTGTCAGTACCCCACAAGGCTGGAGACGTGGGATGTGGACCAGTCTGGGAATTGAGCACCCTGCCCTGTGCCAGACTGGGGGGATTGGGAGACAAGTGGGATGCAGGGCTGAGCCTGCCACCCCCCCCTCCCCTGAGCTGTGCAGCGCTGCCCTGGTGGGAGCCTGCTCCCTACATGTACAAGCCCTGGCACTGAGGGAAACAGGTGCAGGGGATGAGGCTGGGGTCAGCTGTCCTCTGGACCCCCCCGCCCCCCCCTTGGCTGCTTCAGGATGAAGTGTTAGGGAGAACTCACCCGCTTTGGTGAAAGCTGCATGTCCAGGATGGGAGAAGGCACCTGGAAGGGAAGAAGAGGGTTAGTCCTGCAGTGGGATTAGCCCTTCCTGGGCACCCTAGCCTGCCAGTGGTGCTGGGACCCTGTGGATGACAGGGTGCTGGTCATGACCAGGATGCCTGGTCCCAGCTCCTCCTGCTCAGTGCAGGCAGCCCAAGGCGTCTCCGCCCAGCAGCAGCACTGTCAAACCCCACCCCTACCTGCCTCAGGATGGGATTGGATGGAGAGTTGGGAGATGACCAGGTGCTAGGCCCTGTGACCCTAACTAACTCCCCTCCATGCAGTGATGGTAACAGCACCACCCACTTGTTAAGGCGACTGGGAGACAACAGCAGTGTGGCTAGGGACCTCCCTGATGAAGGCCAGCAAGTTACCGCAAGGGTCTGCAGGGAGGAACTGGATGAGGGCATGCTACATGGTCCAGCTGCCCATGGTCCAGCCTAGTCCAGTCCCCGGTACCTTAGAGACGCTGATCTCCTCCAGGCTCATCTCCTCAGTGCCCTGGCTTGCCCCACCGGCCAGCCCCACCTTCAGGACTTTGCCTTCATCTGTGGATGCAGTGGGAGAAGGAGCTGTCAGGGTTGGGAGTTACCAGACCCAGCAGGACCATCAGCCATGCAAGCTGCCATGTGTTGGCAGCATCCCCAGAGCTGGGGCAAGCCACTACCTGTGCCAAGGAAGAGCACGTCATAGTGCCTGCTCTCCATCTCCACCCTGTGCACCAGAAGCCGCTGGAGCCGGTAAGGTACATTGACTCTCATGAGGACGGGCTGGCGGTCCTGCGGGTACACGGGCTCCCACATCAGCTGGTGGGTGCGCATGAAGCTGATCACCTCATCCGGAAAATCCTTGGTGGACTGCAGGAGCGGGTCATATGTCTCGCTGGGGCACTGCAGGGACCGCAGAAGGCTACCTTATGTCCAGGACAACTTGTCCTGCTCTCTTCCACCCTCTGCTCCCCTGCCCCAGGCCCTTACCGTGCCAGGACGGGGGTATGGGACACGACCCTTGTATTCTACCCAGCGATAGTCGAATCCCTCCTTGTGTGCAAAGGGGCCACTGAAGGCAGCTCTCACGGCAGCCATGGAGTAGACGCACACTGCAGAGCCACTGAAGACACCACTGGAAGGGAGGGGAAGCGCAGAGCTGTTAGTCTCGCTGCTGCTCTGCAGGGGCCAGGCCTGTGTGCACTCCCTATCCCCTGAGCTCACTCTGTGCCCTGCCAGTCTGGGACTCTTGCACAGCACTTGGTGGGTGGTGGGAATTTCTTGAGAACAGCCGGTTCAGCCTGAGGGGACCATCTGCTGTGCTAGTTTATGGCTGGGCTACTGAGGCAGCAGCAGATACCAAGCAGTGAAAAGGCCGGTGGCCCTTCCTCTCCCAGCTGGGTGCGAGTCCTCCCCTTCTTTCCCACAGGGCTCCCCATGGAGTAGTGGTGGTGAGGGGATGGAGGCAGCTGGACTGCCCTATGCATGAGGCTAACCAGAGCCCAGGGCTCACCTGGCAACTGTGAAGAGGCCGAAGACAAGAGGGTTCTGGGAGTCCCGGGTGCGGAGGAGGAAAACATCCTCTGCAAAGACAGAGGTGGAGATGAGGGGCCTGGCAGCTGTAGTGTGAGTCACAAGGATTGTCTAGTGGCCATCCTCACCACTTTGGGACAAGCTGGAAGGTATGCCCATGACAGAGGTATTGGCACATCCCTCCTGGCTGCCCATGCCACTAAGCGGACTGTGCACTCACCGAGCTGATCGAAGTGTGTCTCGGTGCCTTGGGGCCCACGGATGGAGCACACCAGTCGGGCCTTGAGGAATGTGCTCCAGCGATTGATGAGGCTGCGTTTCCCTCCAACGTCGTTCTGCCGGGCACCAAGAGCTGGGCTGACCCCAGCCTCTCCCACCGCTGCGCACCCCTCCATCCCCATAGCGGGACACGTGCAGGTCTGAGCCCCCTGCTCCATGTTGCGTATGTGGCGACACCTCCCTGCCCCGGTTCTTGTCATTTGCCCCTGTTTGGGATGCCCCCTAGCCCAGAGGAGGGAAGGCGCCTGGAGAATCCTCTATTTGGACAGGAGACCCATGCCATGCCTGCAGCTCTGCGAGAAGCCAGGAGCAGAGGTGGGAGCTGGATTCCAGCTTCCCAAGGATGTATGAGTCCCTGAGGCAGCTGAGGCCAGACAGAAGGAGCACCCCCAGCCTGCCTGGCAAGGCAGTAAAGCCGATCTGTGCTGGTTGTGTGATGCCATAGCGTGCTGGCCCTCAATGACTGACCTTGCAGACCCGGGCCACCCTGGCATGGATGTGCCTTCTCTCCCACTGCCCAGTTTCCAGGGCAGTCTCGCGGAAGAAGATGTAGACCTTGTCGTCATGTGGGTTGTAGGTATCAGGGATGGCATAAGCACCAATGAACGCGGGCTCTGCAAGGAGGGGAAGAAGCACAACATAGCCCTGAGCTGGCAGCTCCCTCGGCCAGCTCTGAGCTTTTAATATGTGCCAGAGACTTTCAGCCAGTGCTTCTCTCATAGGAGAAGCAAAGGGAGCCAGGCCTCCAGGCCATGCAGCAAATACAGTATACTGACCCTAGTGTCTCCCCAGCAGAGGGAGAGCCCCTGCTTCTCACTCGCCCCCCATGTTTGTACCATGTAGCCAGTGATCCTGGTTCTGCTCCGTCCGGATGTAGCTCTGCTCAGCCCCGTGAACCCAGGTCCGAAAGAAAGCAGCACTGCTGCCCATGAAGTCACTGGAGGTGCCTGAATAGAGCTCTCCATCTGCAGGGCCAGAGAAGATGTGGGTGAGCTGGCGTGCTGCTGCTGAAAGTTACCCTGGCAGGGCTCCCCTGTGTTGCTGGGAGCCCTGGGCAGGGGGGGGTCTGGTTTGATGGGAGCCTTCCTCACTCCCTAGGAAGCCTGGAGAGGCAGGATGCTACAAAAAGCCGCAGGCCCAGGGAATGCTGTGGTGGTAGCTAACCAGGGCATGATGGTCACATCCGAGTCACTGGTCAGGGAAGGCCCATATCCTTAGTGCAGCCTCGGCTCAGGATTCCTCAGCATCCTCTAGCCACGTCCATGCCGGTGCTGGCTCCAGCCAATGGTCGCAGTAAGCTTGTGCAGACCCACCCCTGCCCCAGGATGGCTTCTAGACCCAACCCTCACAGCCTGTCCACAGCATTGGAACAAGGTGGGCAGGCCAGTGACACTGCACCCCCCCCTCCCCAACCATATACGTGTGGCGACTGTAAAGCCCCACTCTCATGTTTCTGTGCAGGAACCCCTCCACAAGGCTGAGATGAGCCTGAGCAGGACCAGGCTCTGCATGGCTGCCCCCTAGCACTGTCACCCCACTGAGGCAGCAGCACAAGTGTGAAGCCTCCCAGTGAGCTGCAAGGCAGGGGGGCACAGGGACCTCTGCACAGACTGTTCCTAGAACTCCCACCCTTCCAGCACCACCTCCACTCCCTGCTCCTCATTTCATCTTACCGATGAGGAGCCCTGTGAAAGGTTCGTGGGGGCTGTATGGGCACCGTCCTCGCCCCGATTCCAAAGAGTGGGTCACCAGCTGCATCGGGGGAGCCCCAGGATCCTGCCAAAGCCAAAGGAGAAATGTCAGCCTGGACAGAGGCTAGGAATGAACCTGGCATGAACTCCCTTGGCCTGGCTCTACCTCCCATGGCACGTCTCTGTCACTTTGGTAACTTAGTGGCTGTGCTGATGAACATGGAGCTACACATGGGCCCTGTCCTGACAGCACAGAGAAAGGTCACATTTGATAGGCCTGATGAAGAGTAGGAAGGAGGCTGGTGTGTTCAGCCTGCAATGCTTGGGAGTAGTAAGTCTGTGGAGGGCACTGCCAGGAACAGGTCCCACCTCTCTGGGGGCACCCCAGTGCTGCTGAGCCTGGGCTGCTTCTTGCCATGTGCGGCAAGGCCATGCAAGCTGCATGATCCCTGCGCTGGCTCCAGGCTCTGAGCCTGGCTATCCAGCCATGGTCTCCCCCCCTCCCTCCCCCGCTATGGAGGAGGACAAGGATCTGCTGGGAGGGAGAGGGTCTCTTGCCACCTTCCGCAATGGAGACATGGGGGGAGGGGGGAGAGAGGGGAGGTCCCTCACCTTTGCCGTGCCTCCCAGCTGGATGAAGGCACAGACAGGCTGGCAGCAGCCAGTCCCACAGGCAAATACATGGCTCCTGTTGAAAGGCTGCAGGAGGCGGATGAAGTTGGCACATTCTGTCTGCTCAGGAGAAAATTTTTGGTAATGGTCAGAGTTCAGCTTCACATACGCAGGTGCAGCCCCTGCCAACCGTACTGCATATTTTCCCAGGATGGGGAAGCCCAGCCAGATCCTCCCTGGAAGCCAGCAGGCTGAGCTCAGTGAGGCCCTGTGCCTGTCTCCAACTGGCTGGACACTGCTGTGTAAGGCAGACCCCTAACGTCCCATTCTGGGGATCATGTGGGTGTTAAATACCTGCAAGGAGCCACACGAGGCCCTAAGCCAGGGACTCCCCACCTTGCTTACCTCTGCGTTCTTCCCCGCCAGCTGGCAATGTTCAACCTGCTCCCTGGAGGGTGGCCAGAAAATCTGCAACACAAAACCCCACCAGCCTGAGCCCCACTCTCTCGCCCCTGCTTTCCTTGATCTGCCTGAGCAAGAGAGCCACAGCACTCGCCTGGCTCCCACTAGCACTGCCTGGCATGGGCAACTCCCCAAAGGCTGAGGAGACATTGGTGTGCCCATGTCCAGCCAAATTCTTCTGCTATGCTGGGGCACATGGTGAGGATGCAGGCCTGCTCTGCAAAAGGTCTGACAACTCTTTGGGTCCCAAAGGCCCAGATGAGCTCAGCAGGCAGCCTGCCAAATAGGTTCAGAGCAGATCTGGCTGGGGGACAGAGTCTGGGTGGGCCACGGCACACCCAGTTAGTAGGCAGGCCATCCTGGATCCCAGCCCATGGGAACGCCAGGGTGAAATGTGTTAAAGGGCTTTTCTTTTGTTGGTTTTGAACTGTGCACCCCATAGGCAGGATGTATTGGGATGACATTAGTGGACTTGGTGCTCTATTTGTTTTAGTTCTTGCAATAGCAGTGATTAGGTGTGATCTCAGGGCTCTGGGCGCTTCCCTTCCACCCTCAGCTGGGACCCACCCAGATCTCCACTCTTGGCTAAGCTGCCGTGCCCCTTCCTGGTGTCAGCTGCAGCAGGAGGGTCTTATGGCCTCTGCCAAGCGGGGATCAACATCGGTGAATGCAGGGGCTGATTGACCCCCAGTGGTTGAAACGCCTCAGTATAATTGTGTCCCTTGGTGACACTTCATCATCCCAGCTAGGACCACATCTCCCTCCATTCCCCAGCACCTGGATGGAGAGCTGCTCCCAGGGGCCATCAGGGTGGAAGAGGCCAGTCTGGCTCAGGATAGTGTTCACACCCTCCTTCCCAGCACTGACCTTCTCAGGCTTTCTGCTGGGATGGTCTAGATGGAGCAGGAAGATGTGATTTTTTGCTCCCACCATTAGCCAGGCCCTGTCTTCATCCAGCAAAAGTGCCTGGAAATCCAGCCCATCCCCTGACGCCAGCAACAGGCGAGAGCTGTTAGATTTCAGCAGATCTAAAGGGCAGAAGGTGGAAGAAAGGGAAGCCCATCAGGCAGTGACAAAGCAGACAGCCTGAGACCCTATCCTTCCCCCTCCCAGGAACAGCTCTCATTAGCCACCCCCTGCCCCAAGGGAAAGCAACTTTCCTACCAGTGCCGTGACAGCAAACCATCAGTCCTGGTGCCCCAAAACTTACCACGCCTCCTCCTACGAGCATATCTGGAGGAAACAGTGCGTCACCTGCACACAGAAGAAGAGTACCCCGACCCTGGGATGGACTCAGCAGGCTCACACCGGCCCTGTTTGCTGGGGCCTGAGGAAGGACAGCAGTCCAGCTTGAGGCTCCCAAGCTGTTCAGCTTCTAGCCTGCCAGTTAGTGGTGCTGTTTGGCCTGGGTGGATCAACCCAGAGCCGTCAGCCTCAAAACCTCTGCACCCTGAAACCCCATGGGGAGAGGGCTGCGAACACAGACAAAGCATCTGCCAGCAAGTTTTCCCCTGGGCTTTAGCTTAAGAGAATGGTTTTGGCTATTCTCTGAAGCAAAGGATCCCTCACATTACAGGCTGTATAAAAACACGGCTGCCACGGCCCAGCCAAGA